CATATACTGGAGGTATTTCTGACATTCTAGGAGAGGGTAATGATTGGGGATCATACCTTGTTACATTTCTGATGTGCAGAGGATAGTACAGCTCAAGCATACTAGATCTGTTTATTTATCCTATGGGCAAAAGAATGGATGACCCTTGCAGCTTGATCCCAGGAAGGAGGCCAACAAATTCATTGACAATACTACTAGTACTAGTAGTACTATCATGTTTCCAGTTCCAAACTGAAATTGTTAGCAAAGCAAACTCAGCATTAAGGAGTTGTAGTACATGGTTCTTGTTGGTTTGGACTTCTTGATCTATTGCTGTTTGGAACAAGGAGAACACAAGGACAAGGAGTAGTTGATTAGTATTGTTGGATTTGATGAGATCATTTGTAGTGGAAAGGTGTTGAAGAGTTCAGGAGAGGAAGATGGGTTGTTGGTGACAAGAATCTCAGACTGGGGAGGACCTGGTGGATTGTTGACAAGAATCTCAAATGAATCTTCTCTCCTTCATAGTGCACCTGAGAACAAGGATGTTCATTTTACAAGCATTATTCTTCTGGATTGGACAAGGAAGGGTCTCTCAAGTTTTTCTGTGATGGACAAGTGGTATTGCAATGCGCCAAACCACCAGGAGCCCCTGTCTGTAGCCTACTACTACTACTACTAAGAAAATCAAAATTGAGATTTCTATGAAGAAACAGATTGAAAAAACTTGTGTAGAGATGGAAAACCACCAGGTGAAGAACAACAAGCCTCCTACTACTAGTACAACTTGCAACAGCACAGTGTGAAATGCAAAAGGATCAATGACAATAAGCGGGTTTCTTGTAGTACTACTAGTAGTAGTATCATTCAGAAAGTGAAACAAAGCAGAGGGTACAATTTTGATCATTTTTTCTTGTACTTAGCATTGTTGCACAATAATTGGTATTTTTTGGTACTTCTTATTCTTACTTCTTGTTCTTCTTTGTTGTTCTTGTCCTCCTCCTCCTGCTTGCTGTTTGTTACTCCTCCTTCTTGTTCTTGTTCTTCATCCTCCTACTATTGCTTGAAAGTCATGATCTGGTGGGGCCACCAGTACCACTTAACCCTTTCCCATGTAACAGGAAACTTTCAGAGGATAAATTAAAACATTTGTGTTCACAATGAAAATAATAAGTTCTGTCCCAAATTGGTTCGACTTTAATAATTCTAAAAATCGCTATTGTTGTCAGGATGGGGGTTTGGCGCAGTTGGTAGCGCGTGTGCTTAGCATGCACAAGGTCGCCGGTTCGATTCCGGCAATCTCCACTAATGTCTTTTTGCCAGAAGATAGAGCTCAGCTACCACCTACGTATCAGAGCATTCCGTTCCTTGCATAAACTTTTCTCAGTAGGTATTCGTACCGGTGTGTTGCTGGAACGGAAGGAGAAACAATTTTTGACACCGGTACGTAACTGTTGATATTTTTTCTTGTTTTTGTGACATGAGCATGAGAGCGAAAAAGCGATCACCTTCAGAGAAAAAGGTGACTTGTGATGTCATACCGTGTGTCATGCCGAGAAGTGCCCGTACTCAATCATATTCGACGTCATTGTTGTTTTGCGCTCATTGAAATTGAACCACATGTAGAATAGTKGYAGAATTTCTTTTTGCATGTACTGAAGTGATAGGCGAAAGCGATTGTAACAGCGATAGTAATAGAGGAGGAAGAAGGAAGGGAACATTAAGCTAGGGTAGTATCGATCGCAAAAAGACGGATATAATTCACGGGGAGACGTTTCTTGATCAGTGTTCTCGAACAGTTATGCRACAAGATAACTAGTATTGGACTGCACAAAGACTTTGCGACGACAATGTGTTGATAGAAGAAACAGCTAAGTTTTCAATCGGACTTTACATTGATTTTGACTMGATGGCTACTGCGATGAACAGGAGAACGAAAACAGAAAGACTTTCCCGGTRTTGGAAGATWCTTTTTGCAATCGCCGGACTCTTGGACTGCTGTTGCTATTGCTCTTGTTATTACTACTCTATATACTATTATGGGGATCATGGGAAATGCTCAAAAGATCAATTCTGCCAGGATAATGATCATCGTTGTCATTCTAGAAAAGATAGAGGCAAAGATAGAGGCAAAGATAGAGGGAAGTGTGAGGAAATCAAGYCGAAGAAATCAAAGTCCAAACAACTATCTTCATCTTCACAGCAATCAATTTTCGAAAATCAAATCCTTCCTTCTTTTCTTTGGGACTCCATGGCATTTTCGCACAATTGGGAGAAAAGCTACGAAATCCTCTCTGTTCCCGAAAACACAGAAGACTTCACCAATGATAGCAGCGATGAAAACAAAGGAACCAAACATAGATTTTTCGAGGAGAGTTCAACTCGTTGGTACCTCCAATTTCTTGGGACGAGGTTTGGATTTTTGGAGGACACCACTGCCTATCAGTTCCTTCAGTTTTTTTTGACACTGCACCTAGGCTTTGGGATTCTATGCCTAGTTGAAATGGCAGTCCGTGCAGCCGAAGCCCGGAGGATCGTGGTAGAGCACCAAGCAATAGCTGCCCTAGAGGACCGGATAGCTGAGGCGGTCACAAAGGCTTACCGTCGGAGAAAATTGCTACAAGGTCACCCGGCTGGGTTGTCCTTTTACTCGATCTGGAAGGCAGCGGAAGCCATTCCATCGACGCTAACAACTACACGAACCATCAAGCGGAATCCATATATTCCCTCCCTTTCCATCATTAGCGATACGGCATCATCTGACTCTACAGCTACTGAAAATAATACGGTGCACCGCTGCCATCAGGTCATAGAGGATGAAACAACCAACATGGAAGGTAAAGATGATGACGAAGTTATCAATGAGAGAAACATTCTGCTGTTTCTCCGAGCGACGTTCCGCCTTTGGATTCCGGTCGGGGTAACTTGTTTCTTTTGGTTTGCCCTCTTGTCCCTGCCAGAGTACTATCGTGTCGTAAAAGCCTTACTATTTGACATAGAAGACTGTGATGCTTCTAGGCGACTCAATATCGATGGGAACTATTGCTTTGATAACGAAAATAGCACGTGGGTGGGATATTCTTTATGCTACGACGTCCAAAGCCATCTCTGCTACGGACTATTATCAACTTCACAATCTCCATTGGCAACAGCACAACTACATTATTTTGAGATTCTGGGAGACGATTCTTCATGGGCAACCCTCTGGATCACAACAGCAATATTTCGATGGACAGAAGCGCTTTCCTCAATGCAAGACTATCTCATGAAAGTGGTGTGGAAGAAATACCTCTTGGCAGGGGGCAAAGGCCTCAAAAACCGGCCCAAGCTTGTTTTGACACGAGCGCGCCGGGTACTGAATTTCATCAAGCTCATCCGATTTGCAGGGCCTCTAACACGGATGACCCTGAAGCTCAATGACCAGCTGCTGACAGGATATTTCCTGTTCCGAAAGGATCGATCCTCCAAGTCGTACAGGGCGGAAAAGTTGAGGCATCCCTCGATCCTGTTGCGGGACTTGAAGCGCATCGAGAGCTTTCACAAGATCGAGACAGCCATAGCTTCCTGGCCGTCCCATTGCAGCATGTTGCTGGAAAGCCTCACCCAGGAAGTGAAGGCACCTTTCTGCAGGGTGTCGTCTGCGGCGGCCAAAATATACGCGCAGGACTTTCTAGAACAGAGCCGCCAGCGCGGCCGACAAATCACGAGAAAAATCCATTGGCTCCAGGGCCAAATCCAAAAGGGCCTGACCGATTTTTCTTCCCTCGAAGTCTACGACAGCATCGTGCAATTGTCCAAGGACATTAGTCTCGGACACCTTGATTTTTTCCACGACGAAAGCGACAAATACGGCGAGCACAAGAGCAATGGGCAAGAAGAAGACTTTAGTGGCAACAACGGAGGAAGCAGAGCAGCGAAGGATTCGACAAACCGGCGGCATCACTCTTCGAAGATATCTAGGTGGTACGACTATCTCCATCTCGGAAGTTTGCTTTCGTCACGCGATTGCTTGATAAGTCCTCGGAGCCGATTCAGCGTAGTCTGGCGCATAACAGTTACAAACTGCCTGGTAAGCTTTTTGTTTCCTAAATTCTGGGTTGATCTCGATGTGCTTTAAACTTTTCTCCCCATGTCTTGATCGAATCGAAATCGACTCTTTTCAACTTTTTCTCAATCATGCATGTTGTGTCAATTCTTTTACATCGTATTGCATTGCACCGTGAATTGTGGTATCCACCAGTTGTTGGAATTGACGAGACTCTCCATTTCGTGGTACCTGACCAAAACCTTCCACCTGTCCATCACACAGGTCATTAGCCGGTTGTTTGTCGACTGCAGCAACATCCCCGAAGAGACCAAAAACTTGTTTCGATTCGTCACGGATCGCATCGACGAGTGGCATGCAGGTTTGGCTCACGCGATTCCACTCGTTCCCTTCCCGAAAGACAAGCTGGTGATTCTCTGCGTCCCCACGAGCCAGTCGTCCAGGCTCTTTTTGCTGGCGGGGTCCGCCATGGAGGTCTTCATCGACGTCGTCTCCTTTCTGGATATTTTCTTTTGGTTCTTCACGGGGGATCTCGACGGAGAAACGGGCCTGGTGGTGCCAAAGGCCTTTTTTGGGAGGTGCATCCTACCGGGGACCSTGGTTCAGATCCTGGACCACCCCACGCTGCCCGAGGTTCTTCCGTCGTTGTTGGGCAGGGCCGCCAGCACGACCATGTCCATCGGGTGGAGCCGCGTGATACGGTGGTTGTGTGCTTTGGTCCCGGCCCTGAAAATACTCGTGGGCCGACCCCTCTCGGCGTACTTTTTCCGTCACTTCGAGGAGAACACCGACGCCGACAGCAGCAGCGCCAATGGTGGCGTCGGCGGCGCGGTCAGCGGAGATTTGCTCATGAAGTACGCGGAAAGCTTTGGATATCTTCCCCAGCGCAAGAGCAGCAGCCTCGTGGTTTCCGGCAGCACGGCTTCGASTGCTGCACAATTGCGACCGCAACCAGCGATCGACACGCACCGGGGACCTTGGAACCACGGCAGCGACGAACGAAGCGACGAMRGSAGCACCGAGGCCGTCGCCGACAACGGTGCCAACCACCACCACGATTCCGCCTTTACTCTTACCGCGTACGACCAAGAGCGGGAATCCTTCTCGTCGTCGCTTGCGACGATCCAGGGCATCCGGACGACGCCACCGGCATCGCCGGTACGGTCCGTCCTCCGCAGCCCCACCGTGGTTCCGAACGGCGTRCRGGCCGGGGGCCAGCTCCCGCGGTCGGCGTCGCCGAAGAGCCCGYCCCTTTCCCCGGGTGCGGCCGTTYGGTTCTCGCGCGTCTTTTCCGTTGCGGGGGAGCCCTGCTTGCACCGGCGCCCGTCCTTTGGCGAYGGGGACGGCGGCGGTGGCTCGGGTTCGGACCACGGCGGTTGCGACGGAGGCAGCGACGACGGTGGCGGCTCGATGTACGACATTGGCTTGTCTCTGAGTTCGCACGCCCTGGGCGACATGCACGACCATCCGTACGACGAGGACCACTGAGTTGCAGCAATACAGAGTTGCTTTCGCGATTGCTCCACCAACGGCATCGCAGGATCTTGGTCGTCTTCCAGAACACTGCTTGGATTGCGGTTGATCGAGGGTGTGGTGTTCCTCCCCAGTGTGACGCTCGAGGACGCGTGTCAAAGAACAACCGTGATCGGATCAGCCCCGGTCTTGTTATTTTGCCTCTGACGGCGGATGGTATGCATCTCAAGGCCGATTGTTGAGATGTGAGTGTGTCCGCGGACGAAGTGTCGCAGAGCATTGTGCCATGGGGAATTCTTTTTGGATGCAAGCACCAAACAATACAGATGACAGCAACCAATACTGCTGTATCGAGATACTCTAAGAAACCGCTACAGCGCGGCCTACGAAGGATGTGCTACACGCCATACACCTAGAAATAGTATAAAGCCGATCTTTTTCTACAAGAACCTAAAAGATACTTACTTTGTACAGCTATTGGGAATCTCGGGGAAGGAAATCATCAAAATCCCATCTCGAACAACCAAAACATTACTTGGTAGCATACAGGTACAAACATAGTTTTTTCCGATTGGAATTTCAATCGTCCTGGTCGAATTTCTTAGTCGTAGTCGGAGAAGCATGAGTGTACTCCATTTTGTACATACGTACTGTACCATACGCACTGGTACTTCCACTCCAGTAGAATCCAAAAACTTGAGATCACAACAACATACTTTACTTTGTTGTAGTTGAGACATTAAACATATCAACATTTCACGGTAGTAACAACCACATTGGAAAGCACGACTACCTCACGTCGAGTCGCCTTTAGTCACCGCAGAGCCGATGAGATCATTGTAGCCACAGGAGAGCATTCTTCCATTGCCATTGTCGCTCGATCCGTGCAGCATGAAACGAAACAGACCACCACCACAGGGGTCCACGGCGATGCCTCTGCGGACACGGGGATCCGGTTCTGGTGCAACCGCAGCTTCTGCTTCCGCTGTTTCCGGCGGGGGCAATGGCAACGAGGAGGAGGAGGACAAACAACACGGGCGCAAAGACCACAAACGATCGGCACCGATCGGCTACCACCGCCGCCGGGGGSGGATGGTTTCGGTTTCGTGGTTGGTCGCGGTAGCAACGCTGGTCGTTTTCTCGGGATTCGCCCCTCGGATCCACCGGCTCCGGACGCTCCYCGGAGTGGCCGAACGCCATGGTGGTGCCACTGCCACCRTTTCCGGGACAGAGCTTCAGCWKCAGCARCAGCAACAACAAGATCCACCACAACCACGGCAGAATCAGCACCAGAAACAGCACCAGAATCATCCACCRCARGAGCATCGGCAGAAAGAACCCCCACCGGGACCCGGGGCAACCTCGGAACGGTACCGGCCCACGAAAACGACCCACTGGCTCCCGGGCAACCCTCCCGGCGCCGGAAGATCCGAAGGGCAACCCTCGGAGATCGAGCGGATGGTCCTGGACCACTGCGGGCCCGACAAGGACTGGTACAGGGGCTGTGCCTACGACAACAACACGGCGTGGGTCAAGAGGGTCCGGGAGGCCAGCGGGGGGACCGGCGGGGGCCGTTTCTTCTCCCGGGCTTGCAACGGCACCGGCCTGCACCCCTACGGGGTCCACTCGGACCCCTTCCGGACCCACAAGCACAACTGCAGCGTGACGTCCTTTCTGCGCATCGAACGGGAAAGGGACCACTTCTGGGAGGAGTGGACCCTCCGGACCTACGATTCCTCCGGGACCCCCAAGGCCATCGGCGGGGACGTCTTTTACGTCGTCTATTCCGAGGAGGCCGGGCCGGGGGAAGGCAGCCACTCCGGAAGCTTCGTGCCGAGGGCCGTGGGGGTGCCCACCGACCTGTACAACGGCACCTACCGGCTGGACTTTGTGCAAGTCCCCTTCTCGGGGGATCGCCGAACGCGGGGGAGCGGGAGCACTCCCGCCGGCAGGCTCACGGTCCACCCCCTCACCACCTGCTTCATCGGGGAGCTCTACCCGCCCCTCAAGGACGGGTGGAAGACCGGGGGGGCGACGAACCTCACCTGGACCCTGGAGGGGATCGACCGGCCCTCTTCCATCGGGGACTGGCCCCGGCCTTCCGGCGCCGGCCCTTCCGGTCTGCTCCTCGAAAGCCTGTCCGGCTTTGACCGGGTGGTCTTTTTCGGGGATTCCATCCTCCAGCACATGGTCTGGGACGTCGGGAGGAAGGCCTACCACGGGGTTCTCGCGGAAAAGATCGAGAGCGGAAGGGTCTGGGTGCCGGGGGAGACCACCGAACCGGTCAACGTCAACCTGCCCCTGTCGCCCAAGACCCTGGAGGAGTATCTCTCCCTGCTCGAGGCGTCGGTCGGGGAGGGGCTGCGGCTCCCGCTTCCCAACAACGACAATGACAAGAACCACGACAAGAACCACGACAACGACAACGACAAAGACAACGAAACCAGCGGCGGCGGCGGACAGGGGGTAGCCCTGGTCCTGGGGTCCGCGGCGTGGGACGTGATCTGGCCCGCCGAGTGGCAGGGGCCGACCTTCCGAAGACACCTGTCGGCGGTCCGGAGCCTGGTGGAGCGCCTCCTGGGGGGAACGATCGGGGGTGGCGGCAGCAGCAGCGGCAGCAACCACAGCAACCACTACAACAACCTCACCGTGGTGTGGAAGCTCCCCTACGCCATCCACCTGCAGGCGGCCAACCCCGGGCTCTGCTTTTCCGGCCCGGAGGAAGCCCCCGACCGCGGTTCCTGCTCGGGTGCCCTCCGKTACGCCACGACCGAGCGCTTCCGCAAGGTCTACCGGGCCCAGAAAAAGCTCCTGGAACAAATGGCGGGGGAAGCCATCGGGARGGAAAGCCGGCTCCGGGCCCTCGACCTCTACGAGATTTCCTACCTGTCGGGGGCCTCCTGGATGATCCCCAACGACTCGATCCACTACTCGCCGGAGTGGAACGCCCGCATCCTCGAGCTCCTGTACCG